AGGTGAAACAACCAAATATTTTACAAAGACTATAATATAGGGGAACAATTTTGATCTAATGGTACATAACCCAAAAACCATTTAAAGTGGGTTAAGGTCATACATAGAATAAAGGTTCAACAGGAAACCTTGAAATAGATGTATATTTTTTATTGAATTGTTTTTTTTTATTGCACCTTAGTTTAACCTCTTTTCTCTGAGTTCAAGTTAAGAGAGAGTTATGTCCCTTTCAGGCATACATTTTCAAATAGATTGCAAAGTTGTTCAGACATTTTATTTTATTTTAAGTGTTTCCCAGACCTGAACTCTTTTGATGCTTATATCCTGTTCATACTAAATTATACTGTTCATATGTGAAAGAAAAAGTTGCAACCTATGATTAAACTACCTCAAGGTTATGAATGATCACGCAGTTATTCTATCGAATTGTGCATAATCCAGATGCAGATCCAGGATTTTGAAAAAGGGGGAGGGGGGCCAAATGGTAAGACAACATTGTAGGAGTGGGGCCAAATGGTAAGACAACATTGTAGGAGTGGGAAAAGGCTATGCATTTACCATATATGTAGCTCCATAAGGTGTGCCGAAGTCCCCCCCCCCCCCTTTTCCCACTTTCCCAAATCTGCCTCTGATATCTCAATCACAGAATGTATCTGGAAGTTAAAAAGCCTCAATTTAGTGTTCACACATTAAAAGAATTGTATTTGTTTGATATTACACAATACATTTAAGCTTATCTTTTTTTTTTATAAGAATTATCATTTGACCTTAAGGTGACAAATTGATATAAAATGTATACAATGCACTTTCCGAAAAGAGGGACAACTCCTGCAATTTCAACTCATAGTTATAAAAATAATGATTTTTTTTTCATTTACTCATGTACTTTGATTTTTTTAAACATACATGGTAAAAAGTTATTTTGTCTGACTATGAGGGTTACCTGAGGTAGAGATTCAGTTTATTTTATATCTTCAATTATTAGCTTATATCAGATTATCAGCCGACAGTCAGTATGTGTTTGTCTTTTATCCATCTTGAACGAAATACATCTTAAAAAATAAACATCAACAAATATTTTTACACAAATTCAAGATTTTATCATAGTATGCATGATATTTATAACATGTTGTTTTCATTTTTTGCCAATCTTGCTTTGGTCCCGAAGTAACTGTCAGATTTTTATATCTTTAAGTATTTTGACCAAAATTAGATAAGTAAAAAAGAGTAACTTGCATACTGATTTTAAAGAGATTTAACTTTACAAGAAGAGAAAACAAAACAAATATAACTTTTTCAATATGAAATAAGATCTGACACTGAAATAATTCCATTAATAAAAAAATGTGTAATAGATAAGTCTTGGTGTTTTATTTCATGCAAACAATATTTAATCGATGAAGTTCAGACATAATAGATCATTGTTAAAAAGTCACACTTTAGTCAGGGGAAAACCCAAATGTAATGTAATACTTAAAGAAATCTTTATATAGTCATCCTAGATATACAACTTGGAGATTTTAAATAAAGTCAACAAATTTATGATATTGGTTATCTCTTTAATATTTGAAGAATTCTACTCCAGATATTTTATTCTCAAAGTTACCAAACTTAACATTAAATGTCGGTTAAAGCGCTCAGGTTATGATTTGTTATTGTGCGCATATATGCAGACTTCAAACTAAATCTACCTACTTACTATCTAAAAGGGAAAAGCACAGAAAAAATAGAGAGAGGCATAGAGAGTTATCAATTTTATTGATTGATTATAAGTTGCTTGATGAATGTCCAGCACCAAATATTTGATGCACATTCAAAATAAAAACAAGTTAGCAACAATACATCAATTGGTAGGACCGCTGGATGTAAAGCAAGGAACAATCAATCAATCAATTGATGGAATGGAAAAGTAGATGGACTGGTATAATTGACAGTGACTGACAAATAAGACTTTCTTGTAAAAACTAAGGTAAGCAGGGTAAAAAAAATCCCCCAAAATAAAAGAAACTTTCATGACTGTCAAATATTTTTGAAACCTTCATTCAATGAACTCTTGAAAAAGGTTGTTTATTTGGTTAGGAACAAACCTCTCAAAAAGTTGTTTTTTAAGATCATTTTTCTTCTTTATCAGAATACTTTGACTTGTGAACTTCCCATTTGTCTAAATATTGTTTTAAAATTTAATGGTATTTTAATGCTTCAATATTTTCTTCAGTAAAAAGGTCTCAGATATCAGTATAACAAACATATACTATTTCTATTATGTTTGTTTCATGTATCTTGTCAACTAAGATTGACAGATGGACAATAGTATATTCTGCTGACAAGAGATGGACAAACTTACATACATATATTTCTGGACATATTTTCACACTTGTTAATGTAAGGGGGGATATTAATTTGTCGGTAAATATGAATGTTATGACTGACTAATGAGGAAGATTTCTTTTTTCACTGACAGGTAAAAAGGGGCCAGTATTTAGGAACTTGAAATATTTTGAATATATTGTTTGTGTTATAAAATAGCCTTAAACTTTTGTAAGATCAGAACCAGTCTTATTCACCATAAATTACTAAATCAATAATTTTATTGATCATTGTTTAATACTATCTATTTCTTTTGTAAAACCAGATAAGCTTGTTATTCATTGTAAACAATATCCCCTCTGGGACCTCCAGGTAAGAATCAGGTGTACCAGAGGTCATATGTCAAGAAGATGTGTCTTAAATTGATCAGTTTGATTAGAAAATTACCAATTGATTGTAAACATTTGCAATCCTTTAAAACTTAAACATGGTCAGACACTTCATGAATTTTGTATCAGGTTTACTCATATAGTCATGTGAGCAATCTATTTATAGATGTATGATTAATCATCTTCATGATTATTTGTTTAAAATACTGAGGGGTGTGTTTATGATTGATTCTGAAAATAAGATAGCAGTATTATTCAGAAGATATTGAACAATTGGAGTTTTTGTATTTTTAACTGGACCTAGATATTATGTGACAGTTTGTTTATCTACACCAGAGGAAAAAAGATAAATATCTGAGGAAATTCAAATAATCATTAAAATTTTGTGGACTAAATCTTTGAAAATCATCATATTTTGTGACATTTGTGGATTTTTGTTACCAAAAAAACCTGGTAAGGTCAAAAATTGTCATGCTATAATACTGTAATAAGATAGGACTTTTCATTTAAATCAATATTACTAAAACATTATTTTCTCAGTAATATGATTATTTAGAATGAATTTGTCATTGGTAGTATTTTAACCATCTGTCGCAAGTTCTGCAGATCCAACACTGCAATATATTGCTGTCTGTTTGTAATATATCAAACTATTTATTTACTATTTTCCTGGTATTTGTTTTCAATTATGCAAATTATGCAATTTACTGTCATGCATACAGAGAGAGGAACAAAACAATTGAATTGCATGTGTGACAATAGGTAATATTGCAGACAAACATGTCATACTAATTTCAATTGGTATGTAAACAATCCAACATATGAACCAGATATACATCATATGATGCATTCTTTAAAACCAAGCAGACCTGAATACAGGAATTTGATGATCTTTGATCTAGTGGATGTCTGGACCCCTTAATTGGTCATCAAGTACACCAAGGCTAAATTTTGTTGATATATTTTGCTTGTATGTAATGAAATAATAATTTAAAAAAGCCAGAATATACAAAGGTGACATTCAAAACTCAAAATTCAAAGAGAAATTGACAAAAATCTGTACCATGTATCTCAAATGCTTGCCTCTCAAAATGTACCCTTCTAAAGTGGATCATAAAGCATAAAAGTGAGAATCAGTTACTTTAAACAAACTTATTTTCCCAAGTAATTTACAATTATGCAATTTTCTTAAGTAGAAAAACAATGTAAATCTTCCTTATATATAAATAACATATGTCAACATAGTAAAAACATTGCCAAAATAAATCCCCACATTGTACAAAGTCATTAATAGAAAGGGCTAACTGCAAAAAAAAGTATCCAAGAATAAAAAAAAGTAGGATGACAGTATGTATTCTTTTGATAGTTTAAAAAAAAATCCCCAGCTATTACTTGCATGCATGGTCACAATTTTTAAGACACTCAGATGGATCATTAAAGATGGATCATTATACATATTTATAGCTAACATAGGAAACACCCTGATTGTCAATAGTGTTCATATGTAATAATCAATGATATTTTTGAAGTGCAGAATTCAGTTCTAATCTCCTAGTTTTGAGTTTTGACAAGTTATGTGGATGTCAGACTATAATAGTTTATCTAGTACTGTGCTGAGGGCCAAGGATGAACTTCCTATTGTGTCATAAGATGTGTTTGGGATGTTGATAATGTTCAGATATGAGGCCAGTTTGTTCTGACTGCCACAGTTTGAGATGATATAAATGACCTGTGTGTAACCTAGATAATAATAAAGCAGCTGTGGAAACCTTTATCTGTTTCTGTATACAACTTCATGACAACCCCCTATTTTCAAGGAAACAACCTGTATCTCTACTATCTATACTAATTCTGTAGGTCTTTTTTTTTTTTACCACATTCTTATTTACAAAGATCAAGTATAAGCTTTGTCAATTTGCCTCTGTGAGTCAGCCATATTCAGTTTTGATATTTTCTGCAGTCAGTGAAAAGAAGTAGGCTAAGGGTAGTGAGGTTTACACAGATTTGGGAAAAAAGTAAAGTTCTGTTTTAATGAAATTCAAATACTCCCAATCCTATATATACTTCTTTTGTATTTATCAGACTAAAGAAATGAACAGTTTTGAACCATGTATTTCTTTTGTGTAGGTCAGAATGACATTTACAGTTGGCTCTTTTCTCTTAGATACTAGATAAAATGAAATTAGACTTCCTAGACCATTTTTCAATAGACAGTTTCTGATACTGGTAATGTATGATCACATTGCAAAGGAATAAGACTTCTGGAAAACTGTTTTATATTAACTCCTGTGTTTTTGTTTTTAGATGATGGTGGATGTGTTGCCAACAGAGGTAGAGGATTTTCATCTCTCCTCTCCCTTCTTGTCATCTGATTCTGAGACAGAAGATGATTCCAATGGTTCTTACAGATACAACTTGGACAGCGACACCGATATGTCTCCTGACTCTCTGGTAGGTTTAATCATGGAAATAAAATGAAATGTCAATATAATACTTCCATGGTTTAATATACAAAATAAATGACTGTGGAATCTTGGGATACCTATTTTTGTGTATTTTGTGGGTAGATGGAAACCACTAGACGGAATACAGTTTTTTGTTACGTTGATATTTATAAGCAAAGGCATAAACTATAAATTTATGTAACCTTTACTAAACAGCCTCATTTTCAAAATCATGAAAATTGGTACCCACAAAAATAGATGAATCCACATTAAATACATCATTGAAATAAGTTATTTCTAGGACACAAGCAACTATTTACAGATCTGTTCGCTAAGGGTGTGGATTTGGAAAGGAGAGTGGTTGGCATGCACCCCATTTTTTCACAAAATAAACAAGAAAAAATACCTGAATACTTTGAAAGGTAATTTTGACCCCTAAAAATTTACTTTAACACTTTGATTAAAAGGTCCTAAACACTAGATTGTAATTCCGGTCTCATAAATATAAAATACAAATGTAAAAATATATAAATAATATTCATTCAAAAAATAATTCTGTCCACATTTTTCTGTATGAACATTATTATATTTGGTCAAAGGGAAATAATCTAAACAAAATATCTCTTTGAACCATTTCATTTCCAATGATTTATTTTTGACTTGAATATGCTTGCATAAATCTTCAGCAAAGTTGGAAATGATACATGTATATGTATAAATGAATTATTCTTCAGTGGAAACATTAACAAAAAATGAAGTGGTCAGATTATTAAACATAAATAAATAATGCTAAAACCATATATTTTTTTATCGTTTTTGAATTTGGCACTGTGGACGAAAAAATTCAGACAAAAGTTACATTTAAATATTGCTGTTAAAAAAATGTGTCATATGAAAACTAAAAATACTTATATCTGGTAAAATAAAACCAGTTATGTTCTAGGAAAATGACCTCATCATTGTACGATCAGTATTGTTCTAGGAAATCAACATTGTTTTTTGTAGAAACAGCTGATGACTACAGATAACTTTTATCTGTCAAACTCATATGCCTCATAATCTCTTTTTTAAAATATACAATTTACATTTAGTTTTATCTGTATAAGAGGTCTTGGGATGTAACAATAACAGTTTATCAAAAAAGTCTAAATTGTGATTCACAACTTTCTTTAAATTAAAACATATATATATATATAATAGATCCCTTGATGAAATATTTATACCATTTGTTTTCATGGAAAGTACAGCTGTATACTATTAAACCTAATGACATAAAAAAAACTAAAAGGAGAGATATTAAATACCTGTTGATGTTGTGTATGGTATAAGCATCATTCTTAAACTATAATAAAAACAAAAACCCAAGTAAGACTTGTAGAGTTATCTCCCATGTCACAATTTGCACTTTAGTTCAAGAATTTGTATGAATAACCATGAAAGTGATATATTTTTTTTTTTACATAAAAAAATTAAAAGATTCAAAATACCAAACTACAGTAATATATTTCTTGCAGTCAGACAGTTCAGTGTGTAAACAAGTAATTCAAGTAAAATTTCTTTCTTGGTTAATCTTGACTGTTTACCTAAGCTTTATCCTGTGAAGTAATACTTAAAAGAAATCTTTTCTGCAAAATCTATGTTACAGTCAATGATTAACCTTTGGTGAACAAAGTATAATGAGTCAATGTTAGTATATCTGACACCTAACCTCCCCCCAATAAAAAAAAGTTAAATTATACACATTAGCCTTAAATTTCTTGGTATAAACCATACACACAATTGGTGATGACATTATGCATACTCAAAATAAAAGATGATGCATATAGGCGTAATAAGTAATTATCCTGGTTTCTATTTAATATAACACATTTTACATTTAAGCCTGTTTTTTCTCTCAGTAACTTGAATTAAAACAATAATTTTATATTATAGACTGGTCCCTCTGTCATTGTGGTGCCGGAACCAGAAATACTATCAGATCTCAATATCAATAAGCTTCATGCTTTCACTGATGATGATGAGTGTAACCTTGACCTTGATGAAGAGAACAGTAAATGTGCAAAGTTTTATGAAGAATGGCGAGTAGACTGTCAGGTGAATGAGCGAGTGTTCACAGATTCTGATTCATCAGTCAGCGAGGATGAAGCGTGCTATGTCAGGCCGAAAAAACCTAGGAAGCGAGTTAGATGGAGGAAAAATGTTTTTTGTAAGTATCAAAATTATTTATAATCCCTAGATTAGAAGGTAGAAACAACAAGTGTGACCATCATTAACATGCAGAAAGCTCTGGTTTATTATAAATGAAACTTATATTCAAGGTTTGCCTGATAAGCTAAACTATAGATCTGTTAATGTTAAGAAGTATAATATTTGTTTAAAAGCCTCATTGCTGAAGAGGTTATCTTGAATTTGACAATATAAGTCTTGAATTTTGTTGTCTGTGATCAAATTTCTGTTCTCTTAATATTTCTGAAAGAATATGATTATTTGCAGTAGAGAAGTAGTGGTTGATATCTTCAAAAACATTGCCACTATTACCAATACCCCGACCGTCCCAATTAGGGAGCCTCATCATTTGATAATATTCAGTTGTATAACCAAGAATCTTTGACCATCAAAGAATTTGTTATGATGGTAGAATTTTGGTAGTGTTTGTTAAATTTATTCACAACTTGAATCACACTTGTCTATTGTTGAATTCTTTAAGATTTTCTGTTCTGTTAGTTTGCTGTCTCATTGACACATACTAATCTCCTTTTATTCACATGAGCAAATTGGAGTTTACACTGGTTTATGTATATTTTACAATTGTATAGTGGTTAATTTATTGGTATAGGAAACCAGAGAGCTTAAAGCAAACCATTGACCTTGACAGTGAACTTAGGCTTGTAACTGACATAGTTTCTATGTCACATATTTGTAAATTAAGTGTCCCTTGTCATTTTTGCAAATGACCAGAGTGTTTCTACCTACTGCTACAATAATTGTATGCTGCATTTAGACATTGACCACTGGAACAACATGAGTGAAGTCTGTGACATTGTATTGAGATGTTCATGTTACTCACATCATGATATTTTTGGGAAAAAGTATAATTTTTAACCATATTGCAATGAAGTACAGCTTGATCAGTAAGTCTGTTGAGCATCTTGATCATATAATGATCTTACCCAACTGTATGAGATGTTCCTAGATGAATGATTACGGTTATATTGGCTCAAAAAAGACTAAAATCTGTTACCAAAAAAAATATGAATTTGAAAATTATTTTTTTATCAGTTACATGTAAATAAGTTTCTTACATATAGTATAATATAGATGTTTCTTCCTGGATCAATGCCCTATAGAAGCCATTATTTTGTCAAAGGTGAAAGTCACATTGGCTGAAAATGTGTACCATTTATTGGATAAGGAGATGATGAGTAGGACCAGGAGGGCCTAGATTTAACCCTTATTAAGTTGATTGTTGTCATGTCCCATTTAAAGACCAAAACATGTCCATGCATTTACAATCTCAGATCATCTCAACTATTCAAGTTTTAATAACCCAAACATTATTTTTCTGTTTTAACTGTTTGTTTTAGCTGTGTTGATAGCTTTCAATGTATAATATTTATTATATTGAACCAGTTTTTAGCCAGAATTATATATCTTTTTTAAATGCCTTTTTATTAGGTCCATTACATACTATATAAAAAACATTGGCCACAACCTTCGAACAAGATAAATTTGTTGTAATAATTGTGCATTTGGTTGAGATATACATTGTTATTCTAACCACAAATAAAATTCATTGTCTACGCATGTGGCCTTTGTCATGAGAATTAAGAAAAAACTGTACAAAAGAGTGTAGGATGTCACAGTAGACCCTAATTTGTCCCAAACTTCCCTGACCTTCATCCTGGACTATTACAGTACCTACATATTGTATTTTACTGCTTACTTGTTCTCGTCCCGAATCTGTATGAAATATTTGCCACTGAACATTAAGCAACCAACGTCAATCAATATTGTCCAATCTAATTTTTTTATTAAAAGATAGTGCAAATGAATCAGAGATACACATTCAACAAAATATAATGTTGGTCCATGCATAGATGTATAACCGTTTATGCATCTATGGTCCATGCATATATGCAGATGTTATTTGAAGCAAAAACTATCAAAATTTTGACATTTGATAAATAAAGTTTTAATAATTTAAGATTTTCATTATCAGCCACATTGTTAGTCCATTAAATAATTATGATGTTTTGAAAGTTATTTTATTATTTTGCTGTGAAGCATTACTACAACATGTTCACTGGAAGGCACCAAAGCAAAAAATTAAAATAGCCTTTCAAGTGATCATAATTATTTGGAGACCACATTGTAAAACAGAACAGAACTGCAGAGAAATATAATAATGGAAACTCATTTATTTTTAGTCACATCTTTTTTTTTTTATTGTTATACAACACTGATTTAACACTAACGTTGTTTAATGAGAAAAGTTTTACAATAGAGGACCTTCCCCTGCTTGACCTCATGACATTAAAGGTCAGATTTACAAAGAAGTTTCATATCTTTAGCGCCTTTGCATCTTTCTTCAGGAATTACTACGCAAAAGCAATACACAAAACACATGCATTACTCAATTTTGATTAAGATGTAATATACAATATAAGTGTCGTTGTATCATTAAACACAAAGTCTACTAAATACTTTTATTGTAATTATTGTAGTCAAATTAGTGTATTGGGTACACTTTATTTATGGAACTTTGTTGTATAGAATTTCATTTCCGGCTTCTGTACGTAAACACGCGGAGGCCTGTTTGTTCATTGAAACATGGAAAGAACAGAGAAGAAACGAAGTTTAGGAGGTCTTGAACTTTTGATTCAAGCAGGTAAAATCATCAGACATGTGACGACTGAAAGCATATTTGATTTCTCAACAATGTGCGCTGTCTGTTTATTTACGTTGACATTGTTTACTGTTATCAGACAACACCAGGAAGTGAACTTAAAAATCATTTCCTGTTTATAACTTCTGTTTTCATTATCTTCTTCAACAATGTATTAGATAAATTCCACTTACAACTTCAGCTTAAGACGGATGTCAATTTACAGATTGCATAGATTTACTTAAACCCTAGTCAGTATTGTATCATAAACAGTTAATCTTCGTGGTTCACAGGTGAGACCACGTGCATAAACAAAACAAAAATACAAGCAAAAGACACTGTTGATAGAAAAAAGTTAAATACATTTTCACATAATAATTTAATTGACCAACTGTATGTTAATCTATTTGGTTGACTCATTTTTCTGAAATTATATTCTTTGTGTCACCTTGGTACAACGAGGAGTTGCATAATCCAATCATTGCAAACTGAGTTCTATATTTTCAATGTCAACCTCTCCTAATGTTATAAAATTTTATACAAATTATGTTTAATGTTTTCTTGTCAATTTTTGGCCAGTACAAACCTGTTTTATGTGTACAAAAAAGTTGGGTTTTTTTGGTGGGGAGGGGGGGGGGGGGGCAGTGTATTTCAGAAAGATCATCCTTATACTAATTGTCCTTAACAGTCCTTTGTCAATGTTTGTGCAATTTAAATAATAATTTTTGAAATTCCATCATTTAATAGTCCTTTTTTTGAACGAATTATGCACCCTCATATGCATTCTGTCAATGCAATAACCTTTTCTTTTTCACACAAATATTTATTTGAGACAAATTATTGTGTACCTTGGTTGATTAAAAGTTGCTAAATATTCATATGGCAATTATTAGTGCATACATGTAATACAAGTTTCCGACCGACTACTAAATGTACATAATTTATTTAGAATACAAACAATGTGCTTTATAAAATTTGGCCCCTATATTTAAACTTGTTCCCTATCTTAACTGGAAAAATAGGTTAATCATATATGTTTTTCTTTCATTGTTTTGTACATAGATCAGGCTATTAGCTTTCTCATTTCAATTGTTCAACATTTGTGATTTCGAGGCCTTTTATAGCTGACTATGTGGTACAGGTTCTGCTCATTGTTGAAGGCCCTACTATGACCTATAGTTGTAAAATTCTATGTCATTTGGTCTCTGGTGGAGAGATGTCTCATTGACTATTGTACTAGACATCTTCTTATTTTTTATAGGTAAACATTTTTTTTATGTACTATCATATATGTATACTCATTAGAGATGTTTTTGGCTTTAATGATGCTGAATGAAAAATTTCTACTTTAATGGTGCTTAACCCAAAATGTCCATAAATTTGTTATGGTAGTCCAGAATGAAACTTTAGGGAATTTAGGGAGGCAAGAAAATTCTGTGAAAGACATCAGCCAGAATTGATAAGTATTGGCTATGGGTCTATCTTAAATTAGGCACACTTTTTAAGACAAGTCATAAATCTTGTATGAATTTATGCACTTTCCTTTCAAGGAGTTACTCGATTTTAGCGATTGGTATATTGTGAATTTTGCACACTCGTCAGGACAAGACATACATCTTGTACTTCAAAACACACTTTAAAGATAGAGGATTTGGTAAGATTGGGAATGAGACAACTCTCCACCAAAGACCAAATGATGCAGAAGTTAACAATGGAGGTCATCGTAAGGCCTTCAACAATGAGCAAAAGCCATACAGACTTACAAGTTCTGGAAATCAAAGTGTGACGCATGTCAGAAATGAAATAGTCTTTGGGCAAATTATTTGGAGCTGGCACCAATCAGATGCTGACAATTTTTCTTGAAACATAAATTTTGAGACCAGCACAGCATCTGAATAAAATGTGGGTAAATAACTTCATTTTGGTTTTTGATAGATTTCTTTGTGTCAAAATAATGCAAAAAATTGGTCTGGTAAATTCCTGATAGTTATATGATCTGTTCACACCAAATAGAAATCAGACAGGGGACCAGGACATTCATTTTAAATTTGTTTAACAGGGTCTCTAAAAATAACAGTATCACACTGAAAAATGATGTCAAAAGAAGCTTTTGTGGCCTTGTTTGTTCATGCAATTTGCTATGCTTATCCATTTTCTAAATTCTTGTGTTGGGAAGAACATTGGTCTGTTTTATATTTCTGTAATACTGGTAAATGGACTTCAAGTTTTGCAGTCAACAGTAGGACTTTACACTGACAGCAGCAATCTAGGCCACATTTAGGGGTAATCCTTTACAAATTTTTTTTTAAGTAATTCATCAC